AGCGCAGTGGGGGTGGGGAGAAAGAGGCAGAGGGAGAAGCAGCCTCCCCGCTGAGCAGGGAGCCTGATGCGGGACTTGATCCCAGGACTCTGGGACCATGACCTGAGCCAAAGGCAGACGCTTACCCAACTGAGCTACCCAGGTGCCCCCATTTCAACCATCTTTAAGTGAACAATTCAGTGGCGTTAGGTACATTCACAGTGTTGTACAACCACCATCATTGTCTATTTACAAGACTTTTTCATGCCTCAAAGAGAGACTCTGTAACCATTTAAGCAATAACCGTCCATTTCCCCTCCTACCAGCCCCTGGTAACCTCCAATCTACTTTCTGTCTCTATGAACCTGCCTATTCTAGATATTTCTTATAAGAGGACTCACGGAGTATTTGTTCTTTTGTGCCTGGCTTATCCCACTTAGCATCATGTCTTCAAGGTTCCTCCATGTTGTTTAATCCTTTTTTATGGTTGAATAATATTCTGTTGTATGGATAGACCCACTCACCTATCGACTATCGACGGACACCTGGGTTCTTTCCACCTCTTGGCTATTGTGAATAATGCTGCAGTGAACACTGGCAACAAGTATCTGTTTTCGGGTATTTCAGGTGTATACTTAGGAGTGGAATTTCTGAGTAATGTCGTAATTCTGGGTTTAGCTTTTTGAGAAAGCAAACCCCTCCTCAAGCAGCCAACCTGTTTTCCAACCTGTTACATTCCAACCAGTGGTTTCTCCACACCCTTGCCAACAATTACTATTTTCCAGTTTTGTGATGACAGCCATCCTGGTGGGTGTGAAGTGGTAGCTCATGGTGGTTTTGATTGGCATTTCTCTAATGACAAATGCTGTTGAGCATCTTCTCATGTGTTTGTTGGCATTTGTACATCTTCTTTGGAGAAAGGTCTAGGCAAGACCTCTGCCCATTTTTTATTTGGGTTGTTTGTCTCTTTGTTGTTTAGTTTTAGGAGTTCTCTATATATTCTGGATATTGAACCCTTGTCAGATGGATAATTTGCAAGTATTTCCTCCCATTCTATAGGTTGTCTTTTCACTTTCTTGATAAAGTCCTTTGATGCACAGAAGTTTTTCATTTTGATGAACTTCAACTTGTCTGTTTCTTCTTTTGTTGCTTGTGCTTTTGGTGTCACATCTAGACTTCACTGTCAATTCCGAAGTCATAAAGATTTACCTCTAGGTTTTATTCTAAGGGTTTTATGGTTTTAGCTCCTATATTTAGGTAGTTGACCCATTTTGAGTTCCATTTTTTATATGGTATAAGGTAGGCATGTAACTGCATTGTTTTCACATGTGGAGATCCAGTTGTCCCAGCACCATTTGACGAAGAGACTGCTCTTTCCCCAGTGAATGAACACTCTTTTCAAAAATCAATTGGCCATAGATGTTTGGGGTTATTTTTGGACTCTCAGTTCTCTCCAATTGGTCGCTATGTCTGTCCTTAGGCCAGTATCACACTGTTTTGATTACTTTATATTTGTAGCAAGTTTTGAAATCAGAAAATCTGAGTCCTCCAACTTTGTTCTTTTTCAAGATTGTTTTGGCTTTTAGGGTCCTCTTGCTATTCTGTATGGATATGAGGATCGGCTTTTCCATTCCTCAAAAAAGGCCATTGACATTTTGATAGGGTTTGAATCTCACTTTGGGTAGTGTTGACATGTTAACAATCTTAAGTCTTCCTAGACATGAACATAGATGTCTTTCAATTTATTTAGGTCTTCTTTAATTTCTTTCAGCAATGGTTTGTAGCTTTTAGTATAGAAGCCTTTCACCTTTAAATTTATTCCTAGGTATTTTATTCCTTTAGATACTGTTGTAATGGGAATTGCTTTCTTTCTTTCTTTTTTTTTTTTTTAAGATTTTATTTATTTATTTGACAGAGAGAGAGAGACAGCGAGAGAGGGAACACAAGCAGGGGGAGTGGGAGAGGGAGAAGCAGGCTTCCCGCGGAGCAGGGAGCCCGATGTGGGGCTCGATCCTAGGACCCCGGGATCATGACCTGAGCCGAAGGCAGACGCTTAACGACTGAGCCACCCAGGTGCCCCGGGAATTGCTTTCTTGCTTTCCTTTTTGGATTGTTTGTTGCAGGTGTTATAGAAACACAAGTGACAAATTTGATTTTTGTGTGTTAATCTTATACCCTGCAACTTTACTTAAATTATTAGCTTTAGCAGATTGCTTGTGGATTTTTTTGTATATTAGATCATGTCATCCATGAATAGAAATAGTTTTACTTATTCTATTCGAACTTAGGTGCCCTTTATTTATTTCTCTCTTTTAAAAAAAATTTAAAGATTATTTATTAATTTATTTGAGAGAGAGAGGGGGGAAGGGGCAGAGGGAGAGAAAGAGAGGGAGAGCAGGGAGCCTGACCTGGTGCTTGATCCCAGGGCCCAGAGACCATGTCCTGAGCCGAAGGCAGACGCTTAACCCACTGAGCCACCCAGGTGCTCCTCACTGCCTTTATCTAATTGCTCTGGTGAGAACTTCCAGGACAATACTGAGAAGCAGTGGTGGAAGTGGGTTTCCATGTCTTGTTCTAATTTCAGGAAGTCTTTTACCATTGAGTATGATATTAGCTGTGGGTTTTTTGTAGATGCCTTTTATCATTTTGAGAAAGTTCCCCTCTATTCCCCAGTTTTCTGTTCTTACTATGAAACGGTGTTGGATTTTCATAAATGCCTTTTCTGCATCAATTGAGATGATCACGTTTTTTTCCCCTTTCATTCTAGTAATGTGGTGTATTATATAGACTGACTTACTTATTTTGAACTACCCTTGCACTTTTGGAATCTTCCTCTTTTTTGACTTATTCTCTCATTTTTTAAAAAAGATTTTATTTTTGCAAGAGAAAGAGAGAGAGTGTGAGCATGAACGGGGGTTGGGGGAGGAGAGGGGGAGGAGCTGAGGGAGAAGCAGACTCCCTCCCCACGGAGCAGGGAACCCGATGTGAGACTCGATCCCAGGACCTTGGGATCATGACCTGAGCTGAAGGCAGACGCTTAACCATTTAACCGACTGAGCCACCCAGGTGTCCCTTATTCTCTCATTTTGATGGAGCATATCATCCAATGGTTTTCTGAGGAAAGGTTCGTAGGAGATAAAAGTTTGCAACTTTGTATGTCTGAAAATGTTCTGCCTTCACATTTGACTGACAACTTGGCTGGGTACACTCTAGGGTGGAAATAATTGTACTTTGGAATTGTGAAGACGTTGTTCCACTCTCTCGCTTCCAGCACTGCCATTGAGTTCAATGCTATTGGTTCATGTTCCTTCCGATGAGACCTGTCTTATTCCCTCTGGAAGCTTTTAAATCTTCTCTTTGTTCTCATGATTCTGATATTTCACAATAATGTAGCTTAGTGTCATTCCTTTTACATCCATTGTGCTGGGCATTCAGTGTAACCTTTTAGTTTTAGAGACTAGTATCTTTCAACTCTGAAATTTACTTTTTTAAAAAAGTTTTAAAAAATTTATAATTTCTCTGTTCTCTCTTATTGGCATTTCTGTTAGTTGTGTATTGGACCTCTAGCTAGTCCTCTAATTTTTTTATTCTTTCCCATTTTTCATTTCCTTGTCTTTTTCTTCTACTTTCTGGGCAATATCAACTTTATCTTTTAACCCGTGTGTTGAATTACCTCTGCAATCCATTTTAAATTTCCAGAAGTCCTATCTTGCCTCTCAATGTTTCTTTTCCTTTTATAGCAGCCATGCCTGGTAGAGGAATGGCTTCCACAAGTGGAGGGATCAATTCTTCTACTGCGATGGGTGGGAAAGAAGGAAGAATGGATATGGGTGGGAGGAGACTGACAGATGAGGTGGCAGGAAGGTGGAGGTATTCCTTCTGATGACTTCCATTTTCTCTGTGATATAGATGATGAACACATATATTGAGATAACAGGGAAGGTTAACGGGGCAGGAGGTTTGAGGGGCATGAAAAGGGAAATCAGAGGTAACCCCTTCAAAACCCAGCTGTGGGTCGCCTGGGTGGCTCAGTCAGTTAAGCATCCACCTTAGGCTCAGGTCATGATCCCAGGATGGGGTTTCAGCGGGAAACCTACTTCTCCCTCTCCCTCTGCGCGCCCCTCCCCCTGCTTGTGTGCTCTCTCCTTCTCTGTCAAATAAATAAAAATCTTTAAAAAAACAAAGGAAAACAAAAACCCGGCTGCTTCCTGCGCAGCCCTGAGAGTCCATACTGAAGCCAGAGACCATCAGTCAACAATGGCACTAATCGGCTTAGTCAGATAACCTCCTGGTAAAGGTTGGAGAAGATGGGCTTAGACAGCCCTGTGGTTGGTACTCCAGCTGAGTAGTCTGGAAGAGCAGTAGGGCAAAGAAATTAAGGATATTGACAAGAAAGGGGTTGATGTCATTGGACAGGGCATTTCTGCCACTTTTCCGTTTGTTCACAGTCTCTGGGAAACTTAACGAAGTCTAACCGTTCAGCTTGACATTTCCCACCTGAAAGGTTGATGTTATTTTAAAAACTGGAGGAGGGGCGCCTGGGTGGCTCAGTCGTTAAGCGTCTGCCTTCGGCTCAGGTCATGATCTCAGGGTCCTGGGATGGAGCCCCCACATCGGGCTCCCTGCTCGGCGGGAAGCCTGCTTCTCCCTCTCCCACTCCCCCCTGCTTGTGTTCCTGCTCTCCCTATCTCTCTCTGTCAAATAAATAAGATCTTTTAAAAAAATAAAAAATAAAAACTGGAGGATTTCATTGGATTTTCTGCCCCTGTCCATTTATAAACTGTCAAGGATCAGGTCTTATTCATACTGTTTTCCGGGGGTTCCCATTGTTTATATTTCTCAGTGTAGACAAGTATACCAATTTATCTTTATCCTTTGTTTCTTATCTTTAAAATAGAATAAGGACCCCCTAACAACAAAGAGAATGCTTTATTCTCTTCAATAATGGCACTATTGATACTCATTTTGTGTTTTCTGGATGTTTTATCATGAAAATAGAAACAGACTCTGACTGCATATCATCCAGATGTTCAAAGTTTATTTATGTTGTTTCAATACACTGACAAAACACCACAGTTTGTAAATTTTTCTCCCTCAAGAGTCAAGAGTCACTTTATCTTAAACCAGAGGATTCTCTTAGAGCACGCGCGCGCACACACAAGAAAAGTACAAAAACAATTCCACCAAAGTGCATGTGAATGAAAGTGCAAACAGGCTTCATTTTCAAACTCTGGAATCATTCTCTCTGCTTCAGAAATTAAACAGAAAGGTCCTCACTGACCTAAGCCAGGGCCGGGCGGGGGCTGGGCGCAGCTGCGGCTGAGAGCAGGGCCCTGGCCCCGACTCCCTCCCTTCACCTGCACCCCGGTCAGCGGTCAGCGTGTGAAGATCTCCTCTGGGGACAGGATTGGGGAGAAGGGGCAGGAGGGCACACTGCTTTCCCCCTTTTTTCTGGTTTCTTTCCCAAGAGTTTGACGTTGGTGCGGAAAGTGCTGAGGCCTCCTTCTCGCGAGGCCCTTCGTGGGTCCAGCCTGCCTTTCCCGCAGGTAGGCCTTAGAGGGTGGCCGGCAGGTCCGCTGCCCCAGCCCTGCTCCTCGGGAGTGCGGAGGTCCCGCGGCTCAGCTGCGCGGCCTCGCTGCCTTCTCCTCACACCACAATGCCCGTTTCTCCTCAGTTTCAAAGAGGAGCAGACCCGGCCAAGGAGCTGGGGAGCTTTGCCACCACCCAAGCGAACCAAGGGACAGACGCTGACGGGCTCCTCCTGACTCTTGGCCAAGGGGACACCAAAGAACCTCTGTAAAGCTGAGCCTCAGCCAGAGGCAGGGCCTGCCCACTTTCTCCCCAGGAAGGGTGTGCTCAGAGCTGCCTCTAAGGGCCGAAAGGGCAGGGGCATCCGAAGTCCTGTGGGAGTTCAGCGGGGCGGCTGACTGGCTGCCCTGCAGAGCCGCGGGGGCCCATGTGGGAGAGGGTCCCGTACTGGGCTGCGGCAGGAAGTCAACAGAGCTTCTGTGGGAAAGCTAATGCTTCATATTTTAACAGTAATAGCCCTTGACGTTTTCCCAACGCTGAGCCTCACAGATGCACCTGTTCGACACTTCTGAGGGTGCCCTATGGGCATACACATCACGTGACTGAGGGAACGGGCCTGGCTCTGTACCCTGCAGGCCCCTGGCAGCACCCGGGGCCACGGGAGGGAGCTTGGCGGTTGCCCCTCACCTCCGTGGGGGGCCAGCTGCTGCCGGGCCCTCTGCCTCTGCCCCACCCTGGCTGGTTTGGCAGTGGCTCTGTGTGGAGGCTAGGCCCCCACTTGGACAGAAAGGTTGAAGTCCCAAAGCCCCGGCAGGCCACCTGGCTGGCCGTTGCAAAGGGAGAGTGGTAAGAAAGGCTCACAGCTCACGGACACAGAGGATTCAAAGACAGAAGAATTCACCTTCCCAACTTCCAACTTCAAGGGGACTTTGTAAGACTCCACAAGAGCAAGACATTTACGGACAGGTCGAATGTGATGTTGTGAGGTATGTGTGCTAGACCACGGCAGGAGGCCTGGCAGGCATGGGGTCCTCAGCCCGGGGGGCAATACCTTGGCTGAGGTCCATGGCTGCAGGGAAGGATGCCGTGCCCAGCTTCGGGGACCATCACGCCTGCTGAGGCTGCCCCTCTGGCCAAAGACCCGAGATTGTCTGACACACCCTTGGGCTGCCTCTTCCCCACACCTGATACAGGAAGGGCATATGGGGAACATATGTGGAGCCTTAACCTTTCCTGCACAGGTAAAACAGGCTCTAACCACCCACTCTGCTGGAAACGGGGCTTGGCGTGGGCCACCAAGATGCCAGCTGATCCAGCACAGGGCATGCTCAGGAAGGCATCTTGGCTTGGAATCCCCCGCTTCCGGGCGAAAGGGAGAAAAGCAGCCAGAGACTCCCAGCGGATCCTTTGACAACCTATTTCCGAAGCTTACCCATCTAAGGGGGAAGAGCCAGTGGGGTCTGGGAGGGCCATGGCTGGGGGCCCAGCCCAGGAAACCAGACAGCGGAATGAGTACATATGTTTGTGGCTGGGTCACTTCTTGGTCGGAACCAAGGAAAGAAAAGCATGGAGAGAGGCCCAAGAGAAATGAACCTCTAACCAGAGGACTCCTGTTCAACCAGACTGTCCTTAACCACTAAGAAAAAGACCCTTTGGTGATCACACAAGTCAGCTGGAGAGGTGGGGTGGCTAGAGGCAGGGCCCCTCCAATCCACTTCCCCGGTAATGTTCCCCCAGCCCAGTCACACCCTCACTGGTGTGTCTGGTGGCAGATGAGCCCCAGGACTCAGGGGCTAGGACTCCCAAGTACCTTGCAGGAAGCAGCCCCGGAGGGAAGGAGGGCCACCCCTGGTAAGACGTAGAGGGTGGTGGGGGTATGGGTGGGATATGAGGAACTCAAGTTGGGAAGGAAGCATCAGCTGCACAGGGAGGCCCAGCTTGGGCTGGAGGTAAGCCCAGCCCTGAGCCACTCACTTTAAGGTGTCATCGGCGTTTTTGAACATGAGAATGGCGTTATAGATCTTCAAGGCTGGACCCAGCTTGACGCTCATGATCTTCACAATGTCCGCCTGTGTCAGCAAAAGGAAGGCCTCGCCGTCAATCATCTGAGGGGTTGGGAGAGGGAGGTGGAAGGCAGAGAAGGCGGAGAGGGCCGTGGGAAGGAGTGACGGAGAGGTGGGGTATGCATGGGGAGCGGGCAGGGGAGAAAGAGAATCGGGGTCAAGGTTGCATGAGGGGCGGGGAGGAGGAGAGAGATGGGAAGAGGAAGGAAAAGGAGAAAGGAGGGAAGGAGAAAGGAAAAAAGGAAGATAGCGATGGGGACAGAGAAGGACAGAGATCTCCACTGGCTCCCCCATGTTCACACACATCCTCTTTCTCTTTCTTTCTGCTGCCTGGTCTGATGTTAGTGTGCATGTGCTTAACGTCTTCTGAGTCCCCACAGACAGCAGCCTCCAAACATCTGCTGTTGTGCTTCCCCCACAAAGCCCCGGGTCAGTGTCCTTGCTGTTGGCAGGTCAACAGGCAGACACCGGGGACACGTGCTGGGGATGCGGTGTGATGTACACAGTGTCACCTACGAGCTATTCTTGCCGGGGGGGCTGGGGGGAGAGAGGACGGCAGAGTGATTTAGTCTGAATCTGGGCAGACTTTCCTTAGCACCAACAGGGCCGACCGCCAGACTGGACAGACTGACTACCCATGAGACCATCCATCTGCTTTGCCCAAACTTCTCACTCATGACACATCCCTCGAATGACTGGTCTGTGTCCCGGCGGGGGAGAGAATCTTGACGTGTGTGTCTGAATGTATCATTTCAGCCCGACAAAGGCCCCTCCCTGGAGCATGGACCAGATCCTGGGAAGGGCCATCCTCAGCTCTCACAGAGGTCCTGCTCCCCACTGAGACTCCATTTGATGCTGGCAGTCTGTGCCCCTGCTGGCCACTGCTTTTGTACCCCAGACCATGCTGAACTGAGATACGCAGCAGGTGCCCTGGGGGGAGAGAGCCCTTCTTCTGACAAGGGGAGGATGCTGGAGCACCTAACTCTCGCGTGGCTCTGTGGCTAGCTGACCACTGCACTCAGGGAGCACTGATTTATGACTGTTGCCATGGAGGGAAGACCTCTAATGGGTGCCACATGGCTCTGTCTCGTGAAACAGGTGTGGTGAAGGTGTGCCTTAGTTATCAAATGATAAGTTGTATGAGACTGGAAAGGCTTACTAATACCAGAGATGACAGAATCAAGATTTAAAACAATGAGACTATGAAACCAACAAAATAACATTTAATAGGGATAAAAGTAAAGTTTTACATTAGGTTAATAAAAAAAAAAAAATCCAGTGGTACAAGTAACAAACTGGAAAATGCGGTTAGACTATAATGGATAATTGATATAAAAGGCACTTGGGGACTTTCATGACCTCCAAACTGGTCTGATGTGGTTATAATGAAGCTAGTGCAAACTTAATTTTTGATAAAAAAAAAAAAGAAAAAAGATATATATATATATATATGTATATATATATATATATAGGGTTTGTATCTAGGGGAAGAGAAAACAACCCAAATATCCATTAACAGAACTGTGGGCTCTTCATAAAATGGAGCGCTACTCAGCAATACAAATGAACAAACTACTGGTTTACACAATAACACGGATGAACCTCAAAAACATTACAGAGTGAAAAGAGACAGACACCAAGAATAAAAGCTCTACCCCCATTTATGTGAAGTTCAAGAACAGGTATAACTAACTTACGGCGCTAGAAATTTGAACAGTGGCTGCTGATGAGGGCGGGGACTGACAAAGGGGCCAAGAAAGAGCCCTCCAGGATGATGGGAATGTTTTATATCTTGGTTGAAGCACTGGGTTCAGGGTGCATACATCTCACAAAACTCGTGGAACTGTACTTTTAGGATGTGTGGATTTTGCTCCATGTACATTTTTATCTCCATTAAGAAACATCTGGGTGTCGGTTCAACAACTCTAACCAGCGAGCCACTGTGGTGAGTGCAGCTGATAAGGGGGGGAGGCTGTGCATGCGTCACGGTGGGGGGTTGATGGGGAATCTCTGTACCTTCCTCTCAATTTTGCTGTCAATCTAAAATTGCTCTATAAAAATAAAGTCCTTTTAAAAACAAAACCAAAAAGCAGGTACTGGAGAACTCCACCAGCATGTTCTGTGCTGGTCAGAAGGCATCTGAAACCGGTATACGGCTCTGAACAGATACGTTACAGTAAGATCACCAGCCTAGGAGGCAAGCACCCAGAGCGGGTGGGGTTATCCTCCGCCACGCAAGGATACTATGAAGAACTGGCCGTGTTGGGTCTGGATAGAGATTCTTCTCGGGGGAGAGGAGCAGACTTCTTTCTTACGGGCGCCTGACCTGTAGGGGGCATCTACGGGGCGCTGAGACTATGCTTTCCTGGGTGATGGGGGATGGATGTGTGTATTCTTTGGAAGGAAGATCTAAACAAACTCCAAAGTCCCTTCCAGTTTCAAACTGTGTAAATTGGGAGAGTCACGACAAAGTTCTTTACTTAAGGATGACTATTAAGAGCCAGAACCACCACTGAGCCCCCACTGTACCAGGCATTCTTACAGAGTGATAGGATTTGTGTATTATTCTATAGCAGGCTAGTGATATAATTATACTAGACATTCTGGTACAATGATCCATTCATCATTTCCAATGCTCACGACGGCCCTGCAAGGTTGTCATCATCTTAGCCCTCGTTATCCCATTTTATCTCATTTTATAGATAAGAAGATGCAGACTCAGACACAGTAAGGAGTTCAAACTGGCAGAACTGGGATTCACACCCACACTGTCTGTAAAGCTAGGGTTCTTTTATGTACGACTCACTGTTTCTTATCCTTGGTAAGCTTTGGGGTCTTGCTATTAAGTCTACGTTAGGATCCTTGCAGTAAAAGGCAGACCTACGCCATTCAAGAGCCACTTTAACTTACTGTCCCTAGTGAGCTAGGTCTGGAAGACAGGCTGGGCAGAGAGCAGAGGAGTGAATGGAGCCCTGTCTCCAAGAGGCATTTTTCTTCCTGCCGTGATCTGAACACAGGGTTTGCAAGCTGGGCCACAGTCCATACCGGGTTTTTCCCAGAGACGTGGGTCACTGTGACCCGTCTCCCGCAGGCAGGACAACAGAAGGCCCTCCCTAGCAGGGGGCAGCGCTGGTGAGGGCATCCACTCCCTGGTCGCCTCAGCGGCTGACCCTTCTGTCCCCACTCTGCACTTGCACCTCACCTCATCTTTGAAGAGTCGTGCCTGGTCCTCACAGCCGGTCAGGGTGTGAACGAAGCTGAAGACCTTGGAAACCAGAGAAGCACGTGTTGCCAAGGGGACAGGGGCTTGGGAGTGCAGGGCGGAGGCGGGCCCACGTGCACTTGGTGCTCTCTGGGCTTTGACAGTGTCGCTTTTTCTTATTAGCCTAAGAGGACCCTTGCATCTCTGCTGCTGGGTGAGCAAGGTGGGGCCCAGGTGAAGCGTCTCTCCCGCCCGACTTGCATGGGAACTAGCAGCACATCCCTCCCCCACCCACCAGGGGAGGCCTATCAAACCATCTCGCAGCCCCTGCCGGGCACCAGGAGGGACGGCGGACAGGCTGGAGGGGCAGCAGATGCTGTGAGGAGCAGCGACCGCCTCTGCCTGACCAGGGCCGTTCCTGAGCCCTCCCGCCAGGCTGCGGTGAGAGGGCAAAGTAGGGGACAGGAACGGGGACGGGTCCTCGCTCTCACCTCGTCAATGGTCCACTTGGCAACCGTTGAGGCCGAGATGCCCGCCACTCCCGGCAGGAGCTTGCAGTGCTGCTCCCAGCACACGGACAGCGAGCGGTCCGGGTGGGCCGACAGGGCCGACAGGAAGAGGGACTGGTGCATGGCGTCGGCGGCTAGCGCTGGAGGCAGAGGCCGAGGCTGCAGGCCGATGCTGAGGACTCAGCTGCTCCCCGAGGCCCGCTCGTACCCACGCCCCTCGGGAGGACCGCGGCCCCCTTCCGAGTGACGGTCTCACAGAGGCAAGAGGGAGGGCGACGGGACTCCTCATGCACTGCTCGCTCCCCCTGGTTAAGTGAGTCCCTCGCTTTATGGACTCTCGGGAGTCAGCTGTGAGGAAGGACCCAGCCCCATCTCTCTGAGGCTGCGTCACCCTGGGCCCCACAAGGAGATGCTGAGGCACTCCCGACAGTTCTCCAGATGCCCCGCACCAGAATGGCCTCCAACAGCCAAGACGCTCAGCCCCGGCAGCAGAAGCCCGTTCGGTTTGCCCTCCTTTTCCTGAGGCCTTTGGGGCCTTGACCAACTGTCGCTGAGTCAGGGGGGGCTCCGTGTGGGAACCCCCCGCCCCCCACAAGCCCGGCCACTGCGTCCGGCTCTGCTCCTCTCCCCTACCCCGCCCCAGCCCGCTCCGCCCCCTGCCTACGCTGCCTGCTGCTCTGCCTGGGGCCTGCCTCCCGGCCTCCAGCCTCGGCTGCTACGGGGTCTCACGAGTGACGCTGCTCTGCGGGGCCTCCTCCTTGGCCAGGGCCGGCGCTCACCTGCCTGGACTTCAACTCCCTTTGGCCGCTCTGACGAGCCTGGCCCGGGCCTACCTCGCCAGCCTCGGCAGGCCCTGAGCCATGTGGCCCCTGCCCCACGGGGCCTGCCCTGCCTCTCTCTGCCCACAGCCCAAGACAGCTGCCTCTTTGCTGTTCACTGGGCATCAGTTCTGGACCCGAGGCCGCCCCTCGCCATCGCCCCCTTCTCGTCACAGACGGTCCTGCCCTGACTTCGGCCCCTTAGCTTCGGCCTTTCGCCCCGACTCTGCCCCTCGCAACCACCCACAGAGCCTCCAGGATCCTATTAGGATCTCCCCCCCACCCCACCCACTCGCGCCGCCCTCTGCAGCTCCTCCTGCCTGCTGCCATCCCTGCTCATCGGACCCCAGGAGCCCAGCCTCCAGCCCCACGAGGAAGCCGCTCCCGTGCGCCGCTCAGCCAGCTCTTGGCGCCCGCCAGCGGCACCAGCAGCCTCTCCCCGGGCAGCCTCCGCCCAGCGCTTCGTCTCCTGGCCATCTCCTGGCCACAGGAGGTTTGGCCTCCTGCCTCTGAGGCCATTCTGGTTCTCCACATACCAGCGGAGGGGTCTTGGGGGACAAGGCCAAGAGGCTGTAGGGAGCCCTGCTCCTTCTCTTTCTTCCCCAGAGCATGGGATGGGGGCTCTCTCGGGCAGCAGAGTGTTTTATCGAACTGCGAGCCAACTAGGGGCAGGTCAGAAGCTGCTGGGTTTTTGGTTTCTTTGGCCTTATAAACAACAGAAATGTATTCCTCACGGTCACGGAGGCTGGGAAGTCCAAGATCAAGGCAGCAGCAGATTCGGTATATGGTGAAGGCCCACTTCCTGGCTAACAGCCAACTTCTCGCTGGGTCTCGTATGGTGGAAGGAGCAAGGGAGCTCTTTGGGTCTCTTTTATAAGGACACTGATCCCATTTGTGAGGGCTCCACGCTTATGACCTAACCACCTCCCCAAAGCCCCACCTCCTAATACCATTTGGTTTCACATATGAATTTGTGGGGGGACACAAACATTCAGCCTATAGCATTATTATTATTATTATTATTATTGGGTAAGCCTTTCCTCACCCTCTCCCGCCATAGCCTCAGTCTCTAGAAAGACAACTTCCCAAGTTCTCAGGATGCTTCTGGAATGAACACACAGGCACGCGCCCCCTGGTGGTCAGAACCTGGCCCTGGACGGGAAGCTGGCCAGGTGTCCCACAGTCGGATAGAAAAGGTGCCCACTATAGTCCCGTCCCCAGAAGTCCTCATTCTGAGGGCTGAGAGGCTGGCCAAGCTCCTCCTCACTCAAGCCTGAAGGCGCAGGAAGTGCCTTCTGCTTCCACCAAGAGGAGTCTGGAGCAGCAGCACGAGGAGGTCGGCCACACACAGGGCTAATAATACCAGTAGGTACTGGTGCTAAGCCCTTTACTTGACCTTTTCATTTAAGCCCCCTATCACCTTCTGAGGTGGGCATATTATCAGCATTGCACAGATGAGCAAGCTGAGGCTCAGAGAGGGGGGTCACCTGCCCGAGGTCTCCCAGCCTGTAAAAGGCCGTCTGATTCCAGGGCTGTGCTTTTAACGACCATGCTATATAGTCTAGGTTGCAGAGACTGTTCCTGAAGAACTGGAAGAGCTTAAGTCCTGTCCACAAACTGAGCACTGAACCAGGTGATCTCCCATGGTCTCTTCTAGCCTTAAGACCATGGGCATTCAACTCAACTAAGGCAAGATCCCTAGCGCTCCTGCTGTGTGTCGGGCCCTGTGCCGGTGGTGGAAGCCGTGAATCTGTCACCCAATGGAAGGCTCAGTCACCCTGTCCCTCCCTTTGGAGCATGCTATGGGCTTCACTGTGTTCCCCCCAAATTCATATGTTGAAGACTTAACCCCCAGTACCTCTGAATGGGACTATACATTTAATCCTTGACCAATGTGGGGGTGAGGGGCACCAACACCCCACGCAGTCAAAAGTCCATGTATAACTTGACTTCCCCCAAAAACTTCACTGCTAATACCCCACTGTTGACTGGGAGCCTTACCAATATCATAAACAGTCAATTAACATAGATTTTGTATGTTATATGGGTTATATACTGTATTCCTACAATAAAGGAAGCTAGAAAAGAAAATGTTATTAAGAAAATCATAAAGAAAACACATTTATAGTACTGTGCTATAAAAAATCCGCACACAAGTAGACACACGCAGTTCAAACCCCTGTCGTTCAAGGGTCAGGGGTATTGGGAGACGGGGTCTTTCAACAGGTGATTACGTTCAAATGAGGCCGTTAGGGTGGGCTCTCATCCAGTCTGGTGTCCTGACAAGAAAAGCAATTTTGGACATGCGCAGAGAGACGCCGGGAGCACACAGGCACAGGGAGCAGGCCACAGGAGGACACGGCGAGAAAGCGGCCACCTGCGAGCCAGGCGTGAGGTCTCAGAAGAAACCAACCCTGCGGATACCTTGATCTTGGACTTTTAGCCTCTGTACGTGTGTGTGAGAAAATACACTTCTGTGGGTTAGCCACGGAGTCTGTGGTACTTGGTTGTGGCACCCAAGCTAAGACAAAGGAGATGGAGGGGCGAGCTGACATTTGGGCTAGGTGCTTTCAGTCTGTTATACCAGCACACAGAGCAGACATCAGACCCGAGTCTGAATCCCAGCTCTGCCCCTTAGAAGGCAAGTGACTTCACCCCTGAGCCTCCCATTCCTCTTCTCTCAGCAGAAGAGAATGGTGTCCACGTTCCAGGATGCCCGTGAGCGTCAGCGGCCATGTCCGTAAGGCACCTGTGACAGTGCTTGACCCTCAGTAGGTGCTCAGTAAACTACTGCTAAGTACTACTGCTAAGTACTATTATTTCAGGTACTTGACGCCTGAAAGAAGTATTATTCACATCCTCAAATGAGACAGACTCGGAGATATTAAGTGACTTGCTTAAGGTCACACAGCTAGACAGTGAGAGCCAGGCCTCCCTCCCAGGAGGCCTAGAATCGAGAGGAGCAGGGCTAGGGGGCATCCTCCGGCCACACAGTGGGGAACCCAAGGCCCAGAGAGGCCCAACAAGGGCTCTGGTGAAGTGGGGCTGGAACCCGAGGGCACCCCTGTGCTCTCACCACTGCAAGGACCCGAAAGCAAGAGGCGGCCTCCCCACCAGCTGCCCCCTTCGGGTTCCCCTCGTGACTCCTCCCCCCAGTTACCACGCACTCCCTGGGAACACTTTGTGAAGGGCATGGGGTAGAGGAGTCAGGACTTACTCGAGAAATCTTCTTGCGGGACCTTCCGATACTTTGGAGGACGGCCAATCCTGGAGAGAGAGGGACCGGGTCCGTGGCAGGGAATCAGTGCCTGGCCTGGCCCCAGAGGACACGAGGCCCTGCACCCTTGCCCTCCGCACCGGCCGTGATGGCGAGGCTTCTTCCTTAGGGAGAAGCCCGCGAGGTTCCTCTTACGGGCCGAGGCCTCTGTGTCGGAGAACTCCGCCTTCAGCCGACTCTGGTTCCTCTCAGCCAGTGGGCAGCCCGAGAGGCAGTGGTGAGCTGTAAACTTGCCTGTGACGTGGCCGGAACCATCACAACCAGGAGTGGGGCACTTCCTGGGCAAGAGGAAGAAGAAGAAGGCTTAAGTTGGGCTGAATCCCCACTTGTTCCCACTGAGCCCCTCCCAGCGCTGGCCCCACTCGGGAGTGTTTTGGGGAGCCCTGATGGGCTGTGCACCCGAGGTGTAGGAAAGCCCCTCCCTGAACAATGCCCGAGGGTCTCTTAGCAGGAGCCCCTCACTCACCGGTGGTGGAAGCTGTACTTGGAGGTCCTAGTGTGTGGCAGGCTCCGACAGCTGAGAGGGGGACAGCCCCCAGGGGAGGCAGAGCTGGGCTCTCTGGGTCCTGGCGGAGCAGGAAGAAGAGTTAGCGTAGGGTCCTGGGTTGGGGGTGGGATGGGGGGATGGAGGGCAGGGAGGGCAGGAACAGTTTCTATGGGGAAGCTCAGCACTAGGAGCTAGCTCCCCAGCTGCGGGGCCCTAACCTAGACTGTGACATCATTTCTTGCTACTGAGGATCTGCCTCTCTTTGGGGTATGGGGGCTTGGCTCTCATACCCTTTGCTGAAACCCTAGATGTCCTGTCTCTGAGAGGAGAGCCCTGGGGGAGAAGATCAACTCAGAGCTGGAGCGGGCACAGCAGCTGAGAAGCCACACCAGGCACAATTATGTTACCCTGTGTGCTTCCCTGTTTCATTGTCAAGGCTCTGGTAACTTGCTTTAGGCCCTACTCATGCTTGGAGAATAATCGAGAAGGATCAATACCCCATGTGTCTTGGAGCTGGGTGGTCCGATGACCTGACCTCCCACCCCACCTACAGGGACCAGGATTGTAGTTAAGGGAACCTGGTTTCCTTAGCAAACATAATGTCTGTTCTGTGAGGCTCTGCTGGATGCTGAGGGAACTCCCCAGGTGCATAACTCCCTCTGAGGCTCATGATCCCAAGTGAGCTTGCCCCTGTCCAGCTCAGCACCCTAAACCCAATAGCTGGGGAAGCTGGAAGTGTGGCTCAGTGTAGCAGAGACCACTGAGGCAGGGAGGATGGGGGAATCCCACAGCTTACTGTGGGCACTAGAGCCCACCTGTGCATGTCGGTCAGAATCCCCTGGGCAAGCTATAGGAGGGGGACTGTCAGAGCTCATGGGGTTGGGTTGGACATCAGTAGGAAAGGGTCAGAGTGTCCTAAGGGTACACACGGAGAGGAGGCTGCAGGGGATGCCCTGTCTTGGAGCACCAGCCCGCGGGGTGGATGTCCGGGTGGTCGGCGTCAATCCAGAAGTCATAGGCGTGACTCCAGCCATCAAAGTGGAGCTGGGGAGGAAAGGCCGTTGGAGGTCAGGCGTTCCTCGTGGAACCCAGCTCAGCCAGGAGGTCCTCCAGGCTCCTGGCGGCTCTCCCTGTCCCTGGGGCCTGTCAGAAGCAACATTCTGGATGGAAGAACCAAGGGGCCAACCTCACAACAACCCGCCTCTGCCACCACATTTTCCAAGGGCTTCACTCATTAAGTAACTGGCACCTTCCATCAATCCAGGCACAGGACAAGGGTCATCAGGCCCACTTGATAGGCTCAGAGAGGGGAAATGACTGGTCCCAGCCCACAAAGATACGTCACAGATGAGGCTAGAGAGAGACCAAGTTCTTCAACCTCGAGTGTAGAGCTCTCTTCCTACGACCTGCAGCCTCCCTAATGTCTGGCTCATGCCATGCCCTTGACCTCTAACCAGTCTACAGAATTCCTGCCCAAACAGCCTATCCATTCCCCTAGCCCGAGGCGCCCGGGGCCACCTTTATCCGATGGTCCTCCACATCCTCCACGCTGGCTACGCGCACCAGGGCTGGGTTCCTGCGGTCCACGGCTTCCAGTTTCATGTTGACCAGGAAGCTGTGTGGGGGCCGCTGCAGGGGACAGCAGCTTTCAGGCCAAGGCCCAGCTCAGTGGAGCCGAGGCCCCAAGGAGGGGGAGCCCAAGTGCCGTGCCTTGGAAATTGTGGCCTGCCAAAGTGGGGAGCACTCCATTTGGCTGGCCGAGTGCTCCATGCCTTCCCAGAGGTCAGCTCTAGGAGCAGAGAGAGCTGACTCACCACCTTGAAGGCCCAGGTGGGCACAGCAGAGGCCCCAGTTTCTTCCAGATATTTCTCCCAACAGAAGCCATCAGGGTCTGGATAGTCTGGAGGACAGGATGAGAACAATGTCTCGGGACCAGGAGCATGGAAGGGGTACAGCCCCCCCCCCCAACCAGAGCCAGCTCCCGACAGAGGCTCCTGAGGCAGAGGAGTGCTGGCCAGAACCAAGCACATCACCACCCCACAGTTCACAGGGCTGTCTGGGAAGCCTGGCTCCCATTCCCCTTCCCTGGCCCCGCTGCTCCAGCCCCAGCCCCAGCCCCATCGGAAACTTTCTTTGCTTTGGACCCCTGCTCCTGTGCTGAGGGGGTGATTTAACTTTCTTCCTTAAACCTCAGCAGAGCCGGGGGCTGACAGGTCTCTCCTAACATCAAAGACTTCTCAACTCCCAAGCAAAGAAGATGGGGCTCCAGGACACTTCCATCCCCTCACCGAGATCCTAGAGACCCAGCTAAGGAGGCACTGCTAAGGGATCGGAGGGGAGGGCTGTGGGGCCAGGCCCAGGAAGGGGCATTTTCTCAGGCTGCAGGGTCACCTTGTGGAGGGGTGAGGGGCTTTCCTTGCTTCTGGCACCAGCCCACCGGGTGGATGTAGGGACTGCTGGGGTCACACCTGAAACCGAGAATACTTCACTGTCCCGAGTGACACTCTGAGGATGATGGCAGCACGGCTTCAGTGCCCTCCTTCACTCTGCTGCTTAGGGACAGCTACACCGATGGCTGATAAAAAAGTCCGAACACTGCAGCATTAACTACAAACTCCAGGACTCCCATAATGTCGAAGGGAGAATCATGAGACACAGTGGCTTGCTCATCCTAACCTTGGTATTTTTAGATGAAACAACTAGTATCACATTGTGTTTCCTAGGATACAGATCAAAGCCAGTGATACCCCGGAGCCAAAATCAATGTCAGGACCAGGCAGGGGCCACGTGGCACCTGAGGTCTGAAAGTACTGCCTCCGGACCCGGCCACCCCATCACCCCCAGGCCAACTCTGGGCCCTCCCACTACCAGTAGTCGTAAGTATCATCCCAGTTGTCAAAGTGCACTAGGAAGCGGCTGTCCACCACGTCGGTCACGCTGGCCACACAGATGAGGGACGGGTTCATGCGGTCCACCGCCTCCAGCTTCATGCCCACCTGGAAGCCCAGGGGTGGGGGGCTCTGGGGGCAAGAAGAGGATCTGCCATAGCCAGGCCCAGGCTGGCTAGCACGAACCCAGAACCCCCTGGCACAGGAAGGAGTAGGTTCTCTAGGAGTCATGCCTGGGGTGGGGTGGGGCGGCAGGGGAGAAGTCAGCTGAGAAAGAGGGTCCCCCTAGGGCAGAATCCTAACCCCCAGCCCTGAGCCCCTTGGGAGCTTCCGGTCTCCAAGGCGTGCTCACAGGCAGCCTCACTGTGGTGGAAGCTGAGCGACAGGCAGGAAGCTACCCATTCTCCCCAGGAGTCTGCCAGGGTGAGCACAGGCCTCCCCTCCCCAGACGAGCCTGGCCCTAGCCTGCACCGAGGCAGCTAGCTGGGTCAGCAGTGGGGTGTTGGGGAGAGGGGAGGAAGGGCATCTGTCAGGCATAAGCTTCAAAAGCTGTCGTCTCCCCCTTGACCTTTACTACAACCCTATGGAGAGAGGTACGATCATCTCCATTTTATAAGTTAAGTAACTTGCCCAGGACCGCAGTGCTAGTCAATGGTGGGGCCAGGAATGAAACAGCTTGACTTACAAGACTGCATTCCCTGTCCTAATAGTGGGTAGAATGGCCCCAATCACTTGGGAACCTGGGGTCAGACTGTGGTGGGGGAGTAAGTGTCCCTGTCTGTGCGGCACGGGGACACTCCGACCCACGGGGATCCTGCACTTTTGATATGGTGACAACTTTAATGGGGGTTCCCTAAGTCTCTCAGACCCGTGGCTGGGGATCAGGAGCTACTTTAACTGCTGGATAAAGCTGTCAGCTGCCTTGAACAGAGAAGGGGACAAGGAGTGAGTGTTGGGACTAAGTGGGAGAGCTGCGGTGTTGGTCAAAGGGAAGGAAAAAGCAGCTCCCAGAACAGAGGCTTGGACCTTCAATCAAGATCTGCAGAGCAAACCAAAGCAAGAAATGAGAACAGGGACATCCCAGTGCCCGGGCTGAGCTGGTGGGCCAGGGACTCGCAGCAGTGCTCGGAGGAGAGGGTTTGTGCAGTAGGGCGGAGGGGGAAACCGCGCGGAACCTAGAACCAGCTCCCCCTCTGGCCCTCGGCCGGCTGTTCGGTGGGAGAGGCCAGAACAAAGCTGAGGGCACTGGTAGGTGAGCTCTCTCCTGATGAGTCAGGACAGCCTGGCCGGCCGCAGGGATTCGGTCCCAGAGGGTGGGGTCCGCCCTCGCTCCGGGGCACTCACATGGCTCTGGCTCGCAAACAGGTGCTTGGGGGCGGCCTGAGCTCGGCTGCTGCGCAGGTACTGACTCCAGCTGAACTCCTCCTCCTTGTAACCTGGGCCCCTCAGGGGGGAAGAGAGTGCCGTGCAGACAGGGGCTGGGCTGCAGCAAGGGTGCCCCACACTGAAGCCCCGGAATCGGGAAGGCCCAAGGACCTCCCAACCCCAAGCGCCTTCCCAGGGAAACCCTGCTGAGGTGGGACGTGACCTGGGTAGAAACCCAAAGGGACAGGGCAAAGCAGAAGCCCTGGGGCCTAGTCATGGTAGGACTCGATGAAGAGAGGCTAGCGGTGGAACAGGGAATAAGGAAGGGAGACCCACGGGGAAGAAGGGCAGGTCACTGTGAGCAATCCAGCTAGGCCTTACCTTTGGGGGGCTGCAGCTTGTGCCCAGTCTTCTCAAACCAGCCAGCGGGGTGAATGTCAGGGGAGTTGGCATTGATCCAGAAGTCATGGCACTCAGAATACCCATCAAAGTGCAGACGTAGGCGGTAGCCACACACCTAGCCCCATGACGGGGAATCACAGGGACTCGGACGCCAGCAGGCACCCACTCCCTCTCCCTCACCTTTCCTGGCCCAGCCTGGTGGTCTCGAGGGTCTCAAATGCTAGCAGGATCCCTAGCCCACCACTCTTCCCCCCCCATCCTGAACCTGGCCCCGTGTTCTCCCATCCCTCGTTGAGGACCCGTGAGCCCTGAGTTCTGGGTGTGAGACAGGTGGAATCTATGACATCCTCCTGCCCTTTTGAGCCCTGGACAGAACCCCAAGGGCACCTACCAAGGCTTAGGCCTGTTCAGGGCCCCTGATGGCCTTTCCTTCTGCTACCGTCTCTCACCGCTCTCCACTCACACACTGCTCTGACTTCACCAAGCTGATGGCAGCTCCTTGAACTTGGCACCCTGTTCCATGCCCCAGTACTTTTGCTCGTTTTGCTTCTTCTGCCTGGAACACCCTACTCGTTCACAACTTATCCCTCAAGTCTCGGCAGGAGGACTTTCCTCTATGAAGCTCCTTCTGCCCCCTCGGTGCTGCCCTGCTCAACATCTGTTGGCCACCCCCTGCCCCCCGCCGTGGCATGTCACTGATGTGTTTATCTCACTGATTCCCATGCTGTGAGCTCCTAGAGGACAAGGCCTTGGTTGGACGCACACCAACATCCCTGCCCTCAGGATCTCCCCTCCTCGGGCTCCCCCAGCAGAGGAATACACCATTCAGTAATGTCACCATGCCCAGTACTTTGGTGTTTGTTCCATTTTTTAGCTTTCTGTGTATTCTACCATAAGCCCCTACAGACTGTGCGCTTTCTGAGGGCAGGGCAGCGTCTCCCTCATCTAAGCCAGGCCCTCCATGCCCCCAGCAGTCCCCGTCAGTCTACCGAAAGAGACATCGCCAGAATGCGGGCACAAGCCTCAGCTCACCTCGGCCACGGTGAGGATGAAGTACATGGACGGGTGTTGAGGGTCGATGCCTTCCAACTTCATGCCCGGTCTGAAGCCATTCTTATTATGAGTGACTGCCTGGTACTGTCAACGCACAGATTGGGGAGGACCCAGCCTCCATCCAGCCTTATCCTTGCCTAGTGGGCTTGGGGTGAAGGAGCTGCCTTTAGGCCCCACCCGCCTAGTATTACCAAAGGGGTAACTTATTTGGGGATCTTCAGTGCAGGGATTCAGAGCAGGACAGACTAGCTCCCAGGTCCTCTGAAAAATGCGGGCTAAGTCAGGGCTGGACTTAAGGTCTCCCCCTTATCCAGGCCATGGGAAGATCAGCATACAGAACTGAGTAGAAGGTACCGGGATTCAAAAGTCCACAGGTTCAGTGATGAGTGAGCCTGGGTCCCACCTCTCTACTTCCTCCTACCCTGAGAGCCTCTCAGGGTGAGCCCTTTCCTACTCTGGGACCCTAGCCAGCCTCTCCCCCTTCCATTCTGCCAGTGTTTTGAGGGCTATCAGACACACAATACACCAGAAGGCCTGAGTTTGGTGGTGATTTCCTGGACTGGGCATACAAGCTCTTCCCAGGTAGAAATTATCTGACTCACGTCCTGGAAGAGGCTGGCAGGGGCAGTGACAGCCTTCTGCTCCTCGAGGTAGGACTCCCATGACCAGCCTTCCTTCTTCTCCCCTGATGCTGTGGACAGGAGACAGACAGACTGACCCCTGGACTGCTCCCGACAGACTATTCTTCTCAGTTTCCCCAACTCAACTCTACCTTACCTCCAAAACAAACCCTTGTCTATGATTGCGTGCCGCCCTCCGGGCCCTCCCAGCCATGATGGCGCCAGACACAGGGGCTCAGACCTCAGGCAAGCCTTGGTCTCTGGCGGGGCTACGCCAAATTCCATCCGCCCTCATCCCCAGGCCAGTCGGCAAAAGTACTCTGGACTGCAGAGCATGTAAGTGAGGTTACAAAATCTCAGCCACAGAGGGACCCTGTTCTCTGACAAAGCTGAATAACAAGCCCTGAGCCAGAGGACTTCATCACAGTGCCACCTAAGCTCACGGAAAAGAAAGGAAAGAGAAAATGCGGAAGGAGGAAGAAACAGAGGAGCGATATCACAAAGAAATAAGAAACTCTTGTTTTTCAGTTCTCCCTCTGAACACACAGAGGTACACACAGAGTCACAAATACATATATGTGTGCTTGGCATGCCCACAGAATAGAGACAGATTCTATGGCCCTCCCAGACGCGCACACACACACACACACACACGCACGCACGCACGCACATGCACACACACTGTGGTCAGGGCCTACAGCCCTCGGAGCCTCCAGGTCCGGGGGAGGGGGAGACAAATTCCCCTGCAGGAACTTCAGGTTAGCCTGCAGTGGAGACCCGGCCTCCAGCACAGATGAGAAACATCATTTAAAGACTAGAATACCTGGCAACGTGTAAGTAGGCTCACAAAGTCAGCCTGGGCTGCCTTCAACTGAAGGCCACAGACAATGAAAGAGGCAACTACTTGCAAAAATCAATTCATATCCCTTGGGTAAATAGCTCCAGCTTCTTCTAGTAACTTCTATGCCCCCATTTTTGTCATCTGCAATATGCAGACAACTTCATCTACCACAGGGAGTCGTTTGGAGGAGCAAATGAGATGCTGTGAGTAAAAGATCCTCATGAAATGCAAAGTGCTGGTCTTGAGTTTCTGGTCTTCCTAGGGCTCCACTAAGTCTGTCTTATCTGGATTCTAGCTCTGCCATGCTCTGGTTCACTTGGCTACTGCCCTGGGTCATTCAGATGTGGAGTGCTTTGTCACTCATGAAGAAGCTTTTTTCTTTAGTTGGAACCTAAGTGGCTAGAAGCACCTCCCTAGGAGCTGCCTAAGTTCCCTGGTCACTGTACTGAGCCTGACCCAGCTGGGCCAAAGCAAGGATTTTCTTGATCAACTGATCACCAAGCCATCAGACTCTCTGAGACCTACACAGACACACCAGCCTAGAGCACATCCTCTGTCCTGAGTGAAATCTGGATTGTCCCTAGAACATACCACCTACGGTGCTCCCTCAAGAAACCCTTGGTTCTCCCATTCGGCCTTCCTCCAGACTTACTGAGCATGCCAGGGGAGAGAGTAGGCTTCGGGACGCCAGGCCTGGCATTGTCTGTCTCTTGCCACTGCAGCTGCACATCATCCTGTATAATACCTCTTCCCTTTTTCCAAATCGCCACCACTATCACCAGCCCTTCACAACACCCATCCCTTTCTCTCTAGATGACATTCTTCTCTCCTCACTCTTCCTGAACCATAACATGAGCCACTTGTCTGTTTCTCACTTCAGGCACCTCTGCCCCTCCTTGGTCCTAACTCCCAAGTTCACCTCCCATCGGCCCTACCCCAAAGTGGCCAAGTCCTAAGACCCCCGTGCCACAGCAGAGACCTCTGACTTCATCTTCTGTCCCTTACCCTCCCAACCCCCAATGTTGCTACTTGCCTCCCTGAGCCTTTAATTATCTGGATTCTCTCACTAGCCATGATGCATAACAAGTATACAGACTTCACAGTTTGTCATCACACACCACTTCCATTTACCTTAACCGTTCCTTTACCATCGAGTGGTATTTTCTGTGTGCCAAGGCTGGTGCCAGAAACTGGGGGTACAGGGATGCCTCAGAGACTTCACATACATGGTCCCCTTTAATCCTCACACAATGTCTTGAGGAGATAGGTAGGATTCACAGTAATCCTTTTCACAGATGAGAAAAGAGGTTAAACGGAATCCACTGGAAAGAGGCCTAACTACGCAATCTTTCAGTCATATTAGACCTTCCCTCCCTGACCAAGCCCCCAGCCTTCTCCAGTTTCCTGCATCCGTTTTCTATGGTGAACAATGGGCTGAGCTGTTAGGTACATCCTCCAGACCAAATAAGTCCCAAAGCTCCTGGGGATGGTTGTACTATTTGTGTGCTGTACACAGATGCCCAGCCGAGAGGGTGAATGTGGGCTGAAATCCAGCTGGTGCTCCTTGCTGCGCCATGTGGCTGAGTCCACTCAGGTTGCCTTTTTCTAACCGGGTCTGCTCAGAAAGGGCGCCTTTTTTACAATGTGTCCCAAGGTATGGTAGAGACTCGCTGTGGTACTGATCCTCTCTTGACTTCCAGAAATGCTCCTTTGCCTATTCCTGCTTCCTTAAACTATACGCTCTTGGCTAGGACCTTCTTCAGCTAGCTCAGGTTGTCCAAAACCAAACTCGTAACTTCTCTGCCAAAGCTTGTGGCCTTCCCGGTGTGGTCTAGTTCAGTCCATGGTACCAGCACCCATTCAACCAGCCACATAAGCCAGGAACTTGGGAGGGATCCTTTAGGTCTCTTCTTCACCCCCAGGATCCTTCAGTCCCTGAGTCCTGCCGACTCCAACTCCTAGCTGGCTCTCGAATCTACCCCCCCGCTCCATGCTCACTGTTTGTCTTGCTTTGAGCCTGGTCCAAGAGCCTCTGGATTGATCTCTCTGCCTCAGATTCAGTCTATCAGCAGAATAGCTCTAAAATAAAACTGGTTTATTTCTTTGCTTTAAAGTCCACCATGGCTTCTGCTTTACAACCAAAAAATCCAAAAACCCAAACATCTTTCTGCAGCGCACAGAGCTCTCTGGGAATTAGCCTGATTGTGCCTTTCCACGACCCTGTGCGCTTCTGTGCCTGTGCACGTCCTAATCCCTCCGCCTCATCGATCCTGCCCCACCCTGTCCCACCCTCCTATCCTCTTCTCATCCTTCAAGACCCAGCCATAGCTCTGGCACCTAGCACAGGGTTTTACACAGAAAGATGATCACCAAATGTTTATTAAATGAATGACGAGAAGGATGGATATATGCATACATGGATGTATGGATGACTGAATATATGGATGCATGGATATATGGATGCATGGATGTATGGATGCATGGATGCTTGGATGCATGGATGTATGAATGCATGAATGTATACGGATGCATGGATGTATGGATGTATGGATGCATGAATGTA